TTCTGTCTTCACCACACATCAATTAAAATAGTTCAAGGCTTTGTTCCTTTAATTATGAGAGCTTCCTGTTTGAGTACACCACTATTCAAACTGTAATACTGTATATATTTCAGTCTAGTTCAGTATATTCAACCTTAAGGATGGCTGCTGACTTGATATTTGTTCAATTAGATCAGTTGGAGGTGTTGTTGGCCGACAGGTTGCAGGTGGAATACGTGATGCTGTGGACCAAAGGTACAGGAAGAGGAGGCCAGGTGGAGGTTGTATTAGGCAGTGAGAGAGAAGGAAAGGCGGAAGTGTGGAGGAGTAGGGACTCCTGGGATTATGACTGGTTCAGGGGTATGTATGATGGAGAGAAGGAAGGTTGATGTTATAATGTAGGCAGGAAATGAGGTAGAAGAGAAGCAGGGCCAGGAGCACTGGAGCTGTTCTATCACGGTGTAGATAATAAGAGAAATACAGCAGGGGTGATCTTGATGGAAGAGTATGTGAATAGTGTTGTGGGGTAAAGAGAATATCAGCTAGGATCAAGAGTTTGAAGTTGGAAATTAAAACAGTGATGTTGAACCTGGTGAGTGCATGTGCTCCACAAACAAGGAATTCGGGTTGTGTGAAGTGGGAGAGAGAGTCTCCAGGGGGAGATTGGAACAGATATCAGTGGAAAAGGAAGCAGAGGTGATGAGGTGTTCGGCAAGAGAGAGAGATGCAGAAGGACACATGGTAGCAGATTTTGCATAAAGGATGGAACTGGCTGTTGTAGAAACATCTTTGAGAAGAGAGAGGAACACTGAGTGACATACTAGAGTGGAGGATGGTGCACACGGGTGAGCTACGTCTGAGTGATAGCAGAATGTAGCTACACAGCATTGGATGGGTTCTGTAGGATGACTTTGGACTTCAAGAAGAAGAAGCAAGTGAAGGTAGAAACAGCTTTTAAATGGTGGGAGATGAAGAATGTTGCATGGTTCAAGGAAGAGTTGGGATGAGGCTTCATGCTGAGAAATAGCTCTGCAGGTGCAATGTTAGCTTTGAGATTCCTAATAAAGAAGGATACAGATGGTCAGAAGGAGTTTCACTC